TTTGGAACATCCCCGACCTTCATGCGAATTTGGTGATACCCGGATTTAAGATCAAGCTTGGAAAAGATAGTGGCTCCATGTAATTCGTCGAGTAGCTCGTCTATGACTGGAATTGGAAATTTATCGAGAACGGTTGCTTTATTAAGTGCTCGATAATCCACACAAAACCTCCAACTGCCGTCTTTTTTCTTCACCAACAAAACCGGGCTCGAAAAAGGGCTAGTACTTGGCTGAATTATTCCTACGTTGAGCATTTCACTGATAACATTGTCATATGATTATATCAAAGAGAAATTACAAGGGTTCTCAGAGAAAAGCATAAAGACTACAAGGAATAAAGCGGATATAAATACTAGCTAGACAGAAACCCTAATGGGCTAAAGACAAAAAAGGGCCCATAAACAAGCGGGCTAATAATATAGACTAACATCCCCCCTCAAACTCACAATGCCGCAGCAATAAACATTGAGAGTTTGTCACATAAGAACCGAAACCGAGAAGCCGATAAAGCCTTCGTAAAAATATCCGCAAGCTGCAAAGTTGATGAAACAAATGGAAGCGAAATGGTCCCAAGCTGCAGATGATGACGAGTAAAATGACAATCAATCTCAATGTGCTTCGTCCGCTCATGAAAAACAGAATTCTTCGCAATTTGTATCGCACTTTTATTATCACAATTCAAGGGAGTAGGTGAAGAAATGTAAACTCCCATATCCGCAAGCAGCCACCGTAACCAGATAATCTCGCATGTAGTTACAGCCATAGCACGATATTCAGCCTCCGTGGAAGATCTAGAGACAACATCCTGTTTCTTGCTCTTCCATAAAATAAGAGACTCTCCAAGAAATACACAAAATCCAGTGGTAGACTTACGATCATGACGATCACCATCCCAATCAGCATCACTATAGGCACGTAACTCAAGAGAAGACGTCGAGGGAAACAAGAGAGTCTGAAACTGAGTGCCACGAAGATATCTCAGAATACGAAGAACAGCTCCCCAATGAACAGAGGTAGGTGCAGTAACAAACTGACTGACAATATGAACAGCATGAGCAATATCTGGACGAGTGACTGTGAGATAAACCAAACTTCCCACCACAGTACGATAAAGATTCGGATCAGACAAAGGAACACCATCAGTAGGAGAGTATCGAGCATTGGTTTCAAGAGGGGTATCAACAGTCCGATTGACAGAAAGTCCCGCCCGTGTAAACAAGTCAGATATATATTTAGTCTGGGAAAGAAGGTACCCTTTCTTAGACTGAGCGACCTCAATACCCAAGAAATAACGCAGCAAGCCCAAATCCTTCATAGCAAATCGACGAGCTAGATCATGCTTCAAAGACTCAATACCACCATGGTCATCACCTGTAATAATCATGTCATCCACATATAAGGACAGAAGAATCCGTCCTGCACTCGAGCATCTAACAAACAGAGCAGAATCGTGATTACTCTGGACAAATCCAAGAGAGGTAATCACTGTGGAGAATTTCTCAAACCAAGCACGAGGGGCTTGCTTGAGCCCATACAAAGCTTTGCGAAGCCGACAAACCTCGCCCGGTCGGTGCTGAATTCCTGGAGGAGGGGTCATATAAACCTCTTCATGAAGGTCACCATTCAAAAAGGCATTCTTGACATCCATTTGAAAGATCTTCCACTGTCGAACGGATGCAACTACAATCATAGTACGAACTGTCGTCATCTTTGCAACTGGGGCAAATGTCTCCTCGTAGTCAAAACCATACTGTTGGGAATACCCTTTTGCTACAAGTCTAGCCTTATATCGTTCAACAGAGCCATCAGCTTTTGTTTTTATCTTGTACACCCAACGACAACCTATCGTATGTTTCCCAGGAGGAAGAGAAACCAAATCTCATGTATGAGTCTGATGAAGAGCAGTGAGTTCTTCAGCCATAGCATTCTGCCAAAGAGGATCTGAAACGGCTTCTCTATATGATTCAGGTTCAGACAGATGATGGATGCTTGCTATAAATGAAGCAAACGGTCCTGAATATGTAGAGTAAGAAAAATATGGTAGCTTGGTGGACTTGACAGGACGAGAAGGTCTCCTGAGGGGTGGTGGTGGAGGAGGATCCTCAACTTCAATAATCGGAGGATCAGGCTCAGGAACAGGTGGAGTCGAGGCACCCTCTGAAGAAGTGGGTGTGTCATGTGCTGCGGGATCATGTGGCATAGATGAGTCTTGAGCCTCTATATCTTCATTAAAAGGATCAATACGCAGAAGATCAGACTTTGTTACATTGTGGACTGTAGCAGGAATCGAGTAGAAAAGAATATGTTCCAAAAAGGTAACGTGCCGAGAAACATATAACTTCTGACTCACAGGATCATAGCAACGGTATCCTTTCTGACCAATCCCATACCCCAAAAATACACAAATAGCAGATTCCGGCACCAGCTTGTTCCTTTAAACATGAGGACGAAGAACAAAACAAGTACATCCAAAAACTCGTAAGGAAGAGTAGTCTGGTGGATGACCATATAACTTCTCAAAAGGAGATATTCCTGAATTCAATGAAGTAGGGATACGATTAATCACATACACAGCAGTTAGGACTGCTTCTCCCCAAAAGGCACTAGGGACCTGCGCAGACAGGAGCAATGAGCGGGCAGTCTCAACAATATGACGATGTTTTCGTTCTGCCACACCATTTTGCTGAGGTGTGTCAGTACACGAAGACTGGTGTATGGTACCATCAGAAGCAAGTAACTGAGTGAAATCATTAGAGGTATATTCACCCCCTAAGTCACACCTGAAGCACTTAATCACAGCCGAATGTTGAGTTTTAACAAGAGCTCTAAAATTGCTGTAAATACCAAAGAAATCAGATCTGCGTTTCATAAGATAAACCCATGTATATCGAGTATAATCATCTATAAAAGATACATAATAGGTTGACCTACCCTTTGTGGATACTGGTGCAGGACCCCACACATCAGAATGAATAATATTAAAATGAGCAGTAGAAGAAGACATACTTTTATTGAAGGGTAAAGCAGAAAATTTTGCTAGTTTGCAACCACTACAATCAGAAATATCACAAGAGTTTAAATGACCCAAAACACCACTAGATGCTAAGAAATTCAACCGTGATACAGACACATGTCCCAAACGAGAATGCCAAAGATAAAACTCAGACGACAAAGGACTCAAACGAAAAGAAGATAAATCAATGCTGGAAGCAGCAACAACAGATACTTTGAGGCCCTCCAAGACATATAGTTCCCCCACCCTACGGCCGATCCCAATCACCTTCTGGGTGTGTTGATCCTGTATAACACACACAGAATCAGAAAAGAACACCCAGTTACCAGACTTGCATAACTGACTGACTGAGGCAAGGTTCAAAGTAAGTTTGGGAATGTAATAAACATCAGGAAGAGTTATATGAGAAACGGAGACAGACCCAACACCCTCAACTAGCATAGATGTATCACTAGCAGACTTAACAGAAATAGATGACACTTGCGACAAAGAAGTAAATGATGATAAATGAGGAGTCATATGATAGGTTGCACCAGAATCTAAAATCCACAAAGATGAGGGAATACCTGAAGTGTCAGATGAAGAAGGACTAGAATAAGACATAGATGCAGACATGGCAGTGGGATTAGAAGCCAAATACTGTCTAAAGCTCTCAAACACCTTGGGATCCAATGTAGATGGTGGCATATGTCCAACAGATTCTGTGTCAACTGGTGGAACAGCAGCAACAGCAAACTGTGGAGGACGAGGGGTCCATGGAGGAGTACCAGAGGAACGCGACTGATACTTCTGTTGACCAGACCTATTTTGTTGCCCTGACTGAGGTTGACCAGTTTTACCTTATTGACTAACAATGGACACTGAGCTTTCCAATGATTCTTCTGTTTGCAGAATGCACACTCATCATAAGCGACTCTTGAAGTTTGTCGAGATTGACTGGAGGAGACAGCAAGCACAGCAGGAGCGGGAGTAGGAGTAGAGGTTGCTTTAAAACCTTTATCTGCATGGGACTTGATACGAGTCTCTTCTGCAATTAACTCATGGACAACTGAATCAACTGAAGGAAGAGGAGAGCGATGAAGAATTGTTCCACGAAGACCTTCAAAATCAGAACGCAAGGCCATCAAGAACTGAACCAAACGTTGTTCTTCCCTCCTAGCAATGTAAGGCTCAAAATCTTTTAACTCTTTAGATTCAGTAAGAGCCAATTGATCCCAGAGATCAGACATAGCAGCATAGAAATCTTGAATGCTCTGGTCATTCTGTTGAAGGGCACGAATATCATATTCCAATTAGTATTGTTTAGCAAAATTGGACTGAGTATACAGTCTCTTTAAGTGATTCCAAACTTCCTTTGCTGTATCATACTTAGCCAATTGCATACCAATGGACTGAGTAACAGAATTATTGATCCAAGTAATAACCTTGGAGTTATCAGTCTCCCAAGCATCAAGCAACATATCATAATTCTTAGTTTGAGGCACTGAGGGTTTGACTTTAGTCCCAGTGACATAGCCCCACATATTCTTCCCACGAAGGAAGTTCTTCATAACGTAACTCCAATACGTATAATTCTTTCCATCCAAACGAGTACTGATTGACTGAAGGGAATCATCTTTTCCGGTCATGTTGATAGTGAATGAATAACCACAATGACAATATAATAATCTGAGAATGAAAGGAGTAACAAACCAGCGGAAGCAATCACTTGAATAACGAATCAACAACAATTATGAACCAACAGCAGCAACGAACCGACAGTAGCAACGAACCGACAGCAGCAACGTATCAAACCTCTGCTCTGATACCATGATAACATTGTCATATGATTATATCAAAGAGAAATTACAAGGGTTCTCAGAGAAAAGCATAAAGACTACAAGGAATAAAGTGGATATAAATACTAGCTAGACAGAAACCCTAATGGGCTAAAGACAAAAAGGGCCCATAAACAAGCGGGCTAATAATATAGACTAACATTCACGAACTAGCTTCTCGATCTCATCCTTTTGTGCATGGGGATAGCGGTAGGGGGAACGCTAATTGGAGCGGTCCCCTCGTGAAGGGTGATGACGTACTCATGGCTGCGATGAGGGGGGGGGGGGGGTAAACCGACTGGCATACGAAAAACCATTTCAAATTTCTTAATAACCTCTTGAATGGTCGGTGGGGGAAGCGGGTTTGGCGACGAAATTTCTGTTGAATTCATGTGAACTAAAAATCCCGTGTCTTCATTGTGACATAGCTTAAGCATGGACTTGTAAGATACCAACGTTCTTGTTAGGCTCGGATCACCTGTAATGGTGATTTGACGACTACCATCCCAGAACTTCATCCATAATTCTCGCCAATTGACTGTCATATCGCCTAGTGTCTGAAGCCAAGAGTTCCCAAGAATAATATCCGATCCCCCTAAATTTAAGGGATAGAATTCTTCAACAACTTGTAGTTCTGGTAAATTCAATACGACTCCCTTGCATGTACCCTTACTTTTTCCCACATACCGTTCCCAAGCCGTACCCGGACTGCACCTGTTCCCGAAACTGTCATTCCTAATTGACCAACAACCTGTTGGAGATGAAGCTATGTGTTGCTCCACTGTCAATTAAGACTAGCAGAGGCAATCCTCCAATGGAACCCTTCACCCTCTATGTTTGAGGAGGCGTGAGTCCACTTACCGAATTAAAGGATACCTCGATTTCATCGAGGTGTGCGTGTTCCAACCCGTCTCCCACTTCATTATCCTCTTCCTGTTCATCGATAATTAGCACCTGAAGAGTCTTACCAGGACAACGATGGCCTGGAGAAAACTTTCCGTCACAACGAAAGCATATTCCCTTGGATCTTTTCTCAGCAAATTCTGCTTCTATTAAACGCGCTTGAACTGACCAGTAAGGCATGTCGAGTTAGTACTAGTCGGGGTGGTACCCTTGCTGCCTACGCTGGGTGAAGACGAACTGCTAGAAACGCCACCTGATCGACTAGATCCGCTGTTGTTGGATCGAATTACCCCACCACTAGTCTTGGGTGTGCCGATATTGAACCTATTTTCGTCGATCATAACAGCAAGAGTCATGGCTCTGGCCAGATTTGCTGGCTGTAAAATCTGGACGACCGAACGTGTATCATCCTTGAGACCATTAACGAAGGTGCCTTCTAAAACGCTTTCTGGTATGTCTCCCAACTGGCATGATAGTCTTTCAAAATTGCTTACGTAGTCACGTACAGTTCCTTCCTATCGGATGGCGAGAAATTGATGATAGAGGTTGCCTTCACCGGTTAACTGGAATCGCTCCAACAGCCGTTCTTTTAATTCCTCCCAAGAACGGAACGGGTTCCTTGCTTGACTCCAGCGAAACCAAGCCAATGCCTTACCGTCCAAGCAAATCGTTGCTGCCTTCAAACGATCTCGTACGCCAATGTCTTGGATCTCAAAGAAACGCTTCACCTTGTAAATCCATCCAAACGCGTCTTCCCCTTCAAAAATAGGAGCCTTAAGCTTCCGAAATTCTCCCATTTGTCGACCCCCACCCTTGTTCTTATATTCCTTAGGTCCCTTTTTGAAGGACCCAAACTCGAGCTCAAATTCAGTTTCTACCTTATCCATCTCCTCATCTTGACTGCTCTTCCCCTTGACAGTTTTTGCCAAGTTGTTGATAGCTTGCATGAGTTCTGTGAATTGTGCAGCATTCTCCTTCCTGGCGAAATCAGCTTCCTCTCGAATCTTGGTTAGATCCTGCTCCAGGGCTGCAACACCTGCCTCCAATCCAGCTATCTTCTCAGTATTTGTTTTCGACATGTTCACACCAGAACCGTAGTGCTCTTATACCAATTAATAGGTTCAAGATCCTAACCCGAAGGTGAGAACCTTAACCCAAGCACCTGCAGTTCGAGAAACAGGGAATTCTCCAGCAAATCGTCTAAGACTTTTATTCCAACATAAACCTAAGTAATCTATAGAACATTAATTATATAGTCTTACTAATTCTAATCATAAACCAAAACCGGATCCTAGAAAATAGGAATTCTAAACTAAATAAAAAACTAATATTCTAATTAAAAGGAAAGCTAAATAAAAGGAAACATTTAAAAACTCTCTTGAATCTTGATACTTATCCCTTCGTCGATAGACCTAACCAAAACGACCAACATGGGTCGTATCACATTATAAAAGACTAAGTATCTTGCTATTATGAATAAAAGATAAAATACATTGCCTTTATTGGTAGCAAGAAGAAAGTGTTGCTGTTTTTAGCAACTTACTCTAAAATAAGCAACTGCTCATTTCGTTCGGTCTCAATCGGAATACGGAATCCAGAAACACCCATGAATCAATATAAAAAAATAAAAAATAAAATAAAATAAAATAAAAAAACCATCAAAGATTCATCAATAAAAATAAAAGGTAAATGATTATTAACAAACCCATTCTTCAAGTTTTAGATTATATACAATTCTCCAATTATATGATTGTAGTCAAATTCTTGATAAAAGAACAAGATTCCAAGAAAATATAATCCATTATTGGAAAATGTGATGAAAACATATAAAATGTCAATCATCTCCAAACGTGTTCTCTCCACTGTAGGTAACATACAAGAAACCATCATCGTCCTTCTTTTCTTCATATATCGCGGACATAATTGCCCCTGAAAAAGAAACACCACAAAAGTATTACCCATTTGCCCTTTTTAGTCCTGAAAGTTCTAAAAAGGATGAGTTTGCCACTAAACTTAATAATTTGGTTTTATTACACCATTGTGACTTGATATATATATATATATATATATATATATATATATATATATATATATATATATATATATATATATATATATATATATATATAGCAGGTAAAAAGTAAAACGGTTTTGTTGCCTATGTGGCGTCTATGTCCACATGGTGCTGACGGCTGACATGGCGTCCATGTTGACTATTTGTTTAAAAATTTCATTTTGGAAATTTCAATTTTGGAAAACATAACTTTAATTTTAATTTATAGTCCATTTTAATTGGTGGGTATCCTTCATTTGAAATAAATACAAAACATCAAGTTCAGTGAGAATTTCAATCATTTTAGAAGTTTGATGAGTAAAAGGGTAAAATGGTAAAATTACCTGTTGGGGGCAGGGCATTGTCAACAAAGATGAATATGGCCTTCTCAGCACTCAGTTTAATCCTTTTGCGTATCACATAAACAAATTGACCAACAGTCAAATCAGCTGGAACAAGGTACCTGCAATTTTTAATTTCATGTTAAACAATTTTCAACTTTACTGAAAAGACCATTTTACCCCTAATGAAACTGTCATATTCAATGCAAGAATTGTAGGAAAAGTTATAGAGCAGATTACTTACTTTTTCTTATCGATGTTAGGAACATCACTTCTCTCCCCTTTCTCCACAATCACCTTCAAAATAACCAAATTCAAGAAGCTTATTTTGAAACCATATAACATAACAAATAGTCAAATACTAATACAAAAAGATTTTTAATTCTTCCACACTATGAAAGTTGCAACGATTATGGCACAAATGTTAAGGAGAGAGTTGAAAATGAGCAAATTTACTAAACTACCCTTAAACTAAAGGAGGTGTTTAACTGTAGATAAGTGAACATGGACTTAGTATCTTCTCAAGTACTTGTTACTAGAAGAAAAAAGATAAGGGTAAACAAGTCTTTTCATGCCAAATACAAAAATGAGTCATCTATATAAACATGATAAATCTAGAGAAAGATTGATACTTACAGGAATCCTATCAGGGTATTTCTCTCTAATTCTAGCAGCCTCTGCTCTCCTTTTTTCTGAAACAAACACCAAGATTCATTAATAAATTGAAACGGATTATAGATCAGAAATATTCATACAACAAAAGGGAACACTTACCAAGATCATGTTCTTGCTTGAATATACTTTTTGCCATTTCAATCTACTCAAAATGAAATGAAAGATTTAGAAATAAGAACAATCAATAACAAGTAGAACACTAGCAAACTTCAAAAAGTCAATAATACTTTCTTCGTTTGATGATCAATACAGAAATTTTTCGATCACATATTGACATTTCTGAAAGTCAAAATTTAACCCTAAAATTGAATAAAGCTCATATGGTATGTCGGTATGCACAATTAATAAAAACTAATAAAGTGATCGGAATGAGCATAATCATTACCCCTTTTTATCACCAAAATCCAAGTATATATACAATATTGTAAACCAAAGCAATCCCTAAAAGAAATATATATTTTTAAGTCATCAAGTTCAACATCTTTGACATCAAGAATCATCCGTCTGAAAACTAAAATAAACTTGATAGAAATCGAAACAAACCCAAGCAAAATTACTTGAATTTTCCGCAAGATCATCGCAGGAAGAACATAAATTTAGTCAAACGGAATCAAAGAAGCGATATTTAAAGAAACTTTGTGACAGGATATGAGAAAACTAACCTCTTCGAAGAGCTTTAGAGACGAAACTTGATTGAGGGTATGAATTGATTTTTGATGATAATAAAACCACTCTGGCCTTTTGTTTTGTACTCCAAGAAAGTGTGTGCTTTAGGAAAATAATAGTCGAAGGGATTATATATTTGTATTTTACTAAATCTTTTAGGGCCTTTGTCAAGCAAAGAAAAAGCTTTTCTTATTTGATTTTTCGAAGATATGGCTCACGCCGGACTAGACCCGGCAAAATATCATTTTTATAAACTGTATACTTATATAAATTGTATATTTTTATAAATATTTTTATGAATTGTATATTTTTATAAATTGTATATTTTTATAAATATATTATATATTATAGATTTGTAGTGGACCAAAAATCAAAATTAAAATTAAAATTTAAGATGCAATAAGTTGAATCATATTAAGGGAAACCAATAGTCTAAAAGTATTTCAAACTTTCAAAGTAAATTAATTTTACTCTTCCTCATCACATATATCTTTTTTTTAACAGCAAATCTACATATTCCTATACTACTCATTAATTTTCATCTATGTCCACGACGAGACTTAAAACATCAAACCTCAAAGAGGAAGAACAACACCTGATACCGTTAAGCTAGAAGTCTTTTGGTCACCATCTATCATCTTCGCACCCCAAATCCAACTCTTTCCATGATACCTTATAAACCAACTTATTATGAATTTTGTCATTCTACCTCCCAACTCCAATGTTTTACTTTTTCCTTTTCGCCTCCTCATCTCCTACTTTCCACGTTGCAAAATGTTTCAACTTGACATGACATAATATATTTACAAGGTTTGAACCTTAACCCGAAACCCGGCACGAAATCAACACGAAAATAAATGGGTTGACACAACACGATAATTAAACGGATCGGGTTAGGGTAAATCCCTCTCAACCCGTTTAATGTCTTGACACGACATGTTTTTCAGATCTAGGTCTAGGCCAAACGGTGTGTTTGTAATTGCACTATGTGGTTTGTTCACTGGGACTAAAACCGTATTAGGTGAGGGATTTTGGGTAGCATTTCCGCACTCTTTCTCTTCTCTATTAGCCTACGACTAGAAAATGTTTTTTTAGTTTCTATTATATATATTTGAATTATATATATACTAAAAATTTATAAAAAAATAAATTAAATATTATGATTGTAAATTTTCTATTAAAAATATAAAATTGGTATAAAATATATTTAAAAAATAGAAATGGAGGGGAAATGAAATGTGATATTTTATGCGTTTTGAAAAGTGAGGAAAGAATTGAGTGAAAAATAGGATGGTGCTAGCACAGAAAATACGAAAGGTAAAGATAAATATACGACACGGCCTTAATAATGACTCTTTGGGATATTTTTTGAAACGGCAAACTATCATACTCATAATCCAATCCAAAACACCACCTATGTCTCCTAGTGAGACTTGATCTCATGACCTCTTATTTGAGAGAGTCACTCCTTACCACTAGGCCAAAGGCCTTGGTGACTCTTTGGGATATTGAATTGTTAAATATGAACCAAGTGGGTAATGTTTAACATTATCCACTTGTTTCCATTATATATATATATATATATATATATATATATATATATATATATATATATATATATTACGAAAGGTTCATGTGATAATTGAAAAAATGTTATGATTGTGAGAATCAATATTTAAGTGACATATGTGTATAAGCTCGCTATTTTGCATTTTAATTATGTTGAGATTATGAGAATTTATATCAGTTAATCCATTTAAGGATACACGTGTCTTTATATCTAAGTGACACGGGTGTAAGTTCATCATTCTGCATTTTAATTATGGAATCTAATATTTCCTATTATCCATCGTTAATATTCAAAACAACATAACCTGTTTTGACTTAATTCCCGCATATGTGTGATATTCGTATAATCGAATCATCACAACCTTCGCAGGGTGCATCTTGGTTTTCCAAGATTGATCTGAGATCGGGTTACCACCAGATGAGAGTCCGACAGAAGGACGTAGATAAGACAACGTTCCAAACTCATTATGGTCATTACGAGTTTGTGGTAATGTCGTTTGGGTTCACCAACGCACCAGCAACGTTCATGGATTTGATGAACCGGGTGTATAGACCGACGCTCGATCGGTCGACCATCGTCTTTATTGATGATATCTTGGTCTACTCCAAGACCAGGGAACAACATGAGGAGCATCTCTGGGAGTTGTTGGGAGTATTGAGACAGGAGAGGCTTTATGTCAAGTTCACCAAGTGTGAGTTCTGGTTATGAGAGGTCCGGTTTCTGGGACACCTCGTCAATCTGGTCGAGATTCTGGAAGATCCGGCCAAGATTGAGGCAGTGATGCAGTGGGAGGTCCCGAAGTCCCTATCTAAGATTCAGAGTTTTCTAGGATTGGCTGGTTATTATTCGAGATTTATTCAAGATTTCTACAAGATTGTTGTTCCTCTTACCCGCTTAACGAAGAAGGGTGTGGATTTCCTTTGGGGGCCTGAGCAGCAAGTCGCATTTGAGACTCTGAGTAGGAAGTTATGTAAGGCTCCAGTGTTGACCCTCCGTGAGGATGTTGAGGATTTTGTATTATTGTGTGATGCATCAATCACAGTTTTAGGGGTGGTACTTATGCAGAGAGGTAGAGTCATAGCTTATGCATCCAGGCAGTTGAAGCCTCATGAGACTAGGTGTCTGAATCATGATTTGGAGTTGGGCGCAGTGGTTTTTGCCCTCAAGATTTGGCGATAATACCTTTATGGGGTCCGATGCACCATCAAAACGGATCACAAGAGTCTGGGTACCTCATGGATCAGAGGAATCTGAACATGTGACATCGTAGGTGGCTTGACATGGTCAGGGATTATGATTACGAGATTCTCTATCATCCAGGGAAGGCGAATGTGGTCGTCGACGCTTTGAGCCGCAATACGGCTAGTACTCCTGCTCGAGGGCACTGTTTGAGGATGATCATCGAATCCTCACTTCTGGGATTTGATTAGGGAGGCTCAGGTCGAGGAAGTCAAGAAGAAAAACTGGAAGCAGGATGGGATCATGGGTGAGATTGACAGTTTTTCTGCCGATGAGGTCGGGTTTGGGTGTCATTTTCTGGCGAAGTCTAACAGATAGTATTGGAGGAGGCTCATAAGTCTAGGTTCTCGATTCAACCTGGAGTCACCAAGATGTATTGGGACTTGAGACTTAGTTATTGGTGGCCCTGTATGAAGCGGGAGATAACATGGTACACGGAGAGATGCTTGACCTGTCGGATAGTCAAGGTTAAGCACCAGAGGTTGCATGGCAAGTTATAGCCCTTGGAGGTTCCCATGTGGAAATGGGAACAAATCACTATGGATTTCATCACCAAGTTGTTGAGGACGGCTAAGGGATTTGACGCAATTTTTGGTCATTATCGACCGGTTAATCAAGAGTGCCCACTTTCTTGCTATTCAGGAGAGTTCAACTACCGAGAATTTGGCCGATGTGTATGTGCGTGAGATCGTCGCTCACCACGGGGTGCAGGTTTCTATCGTCTCCGATTGTGATGTACGGTTAACTTCACGAGGAGTTGGGTAATAGACTGCTTTTTAGCACGTCTTATTACCCTCAGACTGATAGACAGGGTGAGCGAACCATTCAAACGCTCAATAATATGTTGAGGGCTGGCGTTATCAATTTTAGTGGGAGTTGGGATTCCTACCTTCCCCTAGCTGAGTTTGTTTACAACAACAACTATTATTCCAGTATTGGTGCACCACCTTTCGAGCTTCTATATAGAAGCAAGTGTCGTACACCAGTGTGTTGGGGTGAGATTGGTCACAGGGTCATGGGGAGGACCGAAGTGGCCCTTCAAACTAAGGAGCTTATCCAATAGATCAGACAGAGATTGCAGACAGCCTAGAGCCGACTGAAGAGTGACCGACGACGATCTGAGATGGAGTTCCAGGTCGGGGATATGGTTTTATGGAAGGTATCACCCTAGAATGGTGTTATACGCTTCAGGAAGAGGGGAAAGTTGGGTCTCCAATTTATTGGACCATTCTGATTGGTGGCCAGGGTAGGCAAGGTAACTTACCGCTTGGATCTACCTGAGGAGCTTAGCCAGATTCACAACACCATCCATGTTTTTCAACTTCGGAAGTGTATGTTCGACGATCCAGTGGTAGTTCCCATGGATGGAATTCAGGTCGATGAGCGCCTGAATTATGTGGAGAGGCCGATGGCTATTTTGGATAGGAAGACCAAGGCCTTGCGTAATAAGGTAGTACCTTATCAAGGTCCAGTGGCAACATCATAATGGTTCCGAGTGGACTTGGGAACCCGAGGCGGAGATGTGTGAGCATTACTTAGATTTATTTGCAACACCGTACTTCGAGGATGAAGTCTGATCCAAGTGGGGGAGAATTGTAACACCTAGTTACAGGTAAGCACCGATTTAATTCTCAAGTTTAAACCATGCTCACGATGTGAGCACTTAGGTGTCACGACGTGAGCCCAGATGGAAGAATCGCACATATTTTGATTCTCACGACGTGAGCCCTTATAGGTTACGAAGTGAGACGCGGCTGCGAGGAAAACCCTAATTTTGGGGATTTATTTTGTATTTAAAGGAAGTGTGGGCTAGGGTTAGCCCACCCTTAGCCTCCATCACCTCATTGCACTTCCCTTTGAAACCCTACCACCCCATAATTGATTTTGAGCTCATTTGTGGTGATTTCTAGCAAAGAGGAAGAAGAGGAAGAGCATCTAGCTCATCATTTCTATATTCAATTCTCACCATCATTCATCTTCACACCTTCTGGATGATTGTGAGTTTCCAAGTTCAATGCTTTATGATTCTATAAGCTTAGATATAGGTTTTTATGCTCTATCTTTCATGTAGAGAATGATATAGTGGTTGGAATCCATAAAGTTGCCAACTTTATGGATCTCCAGTGTCCCTTTGGTAATATAAGTGTTGGATATGAAGTATAGTTGAGTTTTAAGACTCTTGCATGAACTTCTAATGCAATTTCTTCCTTTTGTGCCCTAGCTTGTGTTTGGGACATGCAATGGACATGCATGTCCAAAAAGTCACAATTTTTATGATATTCTGAAGTAGATAAGACATTTTGGAAGTGTTGGTTGCATATATTAAGGGATTAAGAGCTTTGTTCATCAAATATGTCCAGGGCATTCCTCACGTCATGAGCACTTGGGTGTCACGATGTGAGAATGAGGAATCACGATTATTTTGTCTAATTAGGTCACGACGTGACGAGTAGTTGGGTGACTTTTGAGTAAGGATTTTGACCATTGACCGTTGACTTTTTTCGTTGACCAAGTTTGACTTTAGGTCAAATAGAGTAATTTGAGTAGTAGCTTGAGGTTTGGACACTGTTTATTGTATAGGTGACTTGTAGAGTTAGTTTTTGGAGCAGCATTCAGTTCAACCATCTTTCAAACATTTAGGTGAGTTTTCCTCACTGTACTCGTGTGTCGAAGGCACCAATGACGACCCACTAGGTTATGTATCCTGGTATATAGGATGATGTTATGTTAGACTAGTAGATATGTATGATTACCTGTATTCACTGATTATATGTTGGATTGGTAGATCTGTATGATTACATGTACTTGCTGGTTATATATTTATTTGTTGCATATGTCGACATAGTGTGGGTGGGTTAAGGTGGTACTACTTTGTACTGTAGGCCAACAAACCTGGGGCAATCCATTCGGGTGACTGTGGGCCAGTGGAAATCCGGTCGGGAGACTGTGACCCATATGGGCAATCCAGTCAGGAGAATGTGGGCCAAGGGTAATCCAGTCGGGAAACTATGGACCCAACATGCAATGTGTGAATATGTTTTGTTGTGTAGGGTACTCTGGGGTAACTCACTAAGCTTTGGCTTACAGTTTGATTTTATGGTTTCATATACTTCAGATGGCAGGAGCAAGGCAAAGACTTGATTGTGCACATCATCTTGGATTTTTGTATGACTTATGATTTTGGGATACTCTGACTTATGTTATGATTCTTTTTGGAAACTATGTTTTTTTAAGTAATTCACACATTTGGGATGGTTTTAAAAACAAAATTTTGGTCATGAATTTAGGATGTTACAATTCATGTAGAAGAAAAACACTTAAACCCTTAAGTTCACATACAACCTAGAAAGGATCTATGTTTTCTCTATTGATAGCTATGAACTATGAATATTAATAAATCCTAGGAAACCCTATTATAACTGAAATTACAAGAAGGTTTGGGGTTACATGCCTTTTGATTAATGTAGCCATTAATCAACCAAAATCTCCTTTGAATTCCTTGGAAAGCAAGCACCAAAAGCTTGGATGCCTGTAATGGCATGTACCCAAAACCCTAGCAACTAGAAGACTTAAGGAGTGGGGAGGCTTAGAGAAAAATTTCTACTCTTGGAGACTTGGGAGGACTGGATGAAAATATGTGACCCTAGGGTCCTATTTATAGATGATAAGGAAGCCTTGGATAATCCTAATTTGAATATAATAATAATATCTTGAATTAAGTAATTATCCAAATCCTTAGCCAAAATTGGCCATGCTAGGAGGGTTATAGAATCCCTCTCTTGTTCAACTATTGAACAATTACATCTTAGTCCCTACACTTCCAATTAATTATAATTAACCCAAAATTAATTCCTATTAACTTCTGATTAATTCTGAACTAATTATAACTATTTATAATTAATATATTAATCATATGATAAATTAATAAATCATTTATTTCAGTTTCTAACTAATTTATTAATCATATAATAAATTAACAAATCAGTCTCTTTCCCCAAAATGCATTCTATTCAGTTACAGGTTATGAGGGCAACCTAAAACGGACTTTGCTTTTATTTCAAGAATATACCAATTTAGTTATTGGCTTAAACACCTTAATCCAACAGTCTTCCATTTGGATAAGTCTTTAACTACTCTTGGTCTAATGTCTGATTGTGATGTTCTTGTCTTATTGATCGCTCTCGAGCGGGTCATCTGTTTGACTGTCTATTTGATCCCTGACTACATATGACTTTATGTATTGTATGAAAGTCCAGGATCTGGCCCCTATCAGTTATATCAAAGACCAGGATCTGACCCCTGACAATTATATGAAAGACCAGGCTCTGACCGCTAACAGTTGTATAAAAGACCGAGATCTAGCCTCTAGCAATTATATGAAAGACCATGATCCGGTCCCTATCGGTTGTATAGAAGACCAGGATCTGGACCTTGGCATTTGTATGGAAGACCAGGATATGACCCCTGACAATAATATGAAAGACCAGGCTCTGGCCGCTGACAGTTGTATAAAAGACCGAGATCTAGCCCCTAACAATTATATGAAAGACCAGGATCCGGTCTCTAGCAGTTGTATGGAAGACCAGGATCTGGACCTTGGCAACTGTATGGAAGACCAGGATCTGACCCCCAAAAGTTGTATGTAAGATCAGGATTTGGCCATCGACATTGCAAAAAAGACAATGATTTGGCTCATGGAAAGATGTAAGACTATGATTTGGCCCATAACATTCACTCGGGGTTGGAGTAGACCCATTATTTCATGTATGTTTGTTATGTATGTTTATGTGGATATGAGATTTGGCTGTTCGGTGCTAGAGTCGAACTCTTGTGTGGATGCATTGTATGTATGGTGGAATATGTGGTATACTAGGGAACTCACCAAGCTTTATGCTTATAGTTGTGGATTAAACATTTTGCAGATCTTTCCGTGAGAAGAGCTCAACAGGACTGTACACGTGCATCGAAAATGTTTGTTTCTATAGTTTTGTAAATTAACTCTCATAATGTATCGTTTCAATCAAGAAAAATTTACTAAATGGTTTTTGAAGCAAAGGTTTAAATGGTTATTCTTTTTTAAAAATGAAAAATATCTTTGTAATTTTTGTGACGTTACAAGTATTATATACAAAATAGATTATATATGTATATTCACAAGTGATTATACAATCCACTTAGAAAATAGTGTTTAACCAGATATGATTATTATGAAAAAAATGGAATATGATATGACAAAATAGTTGATTAATCATATGAATAAATCCACCCGAACACCTTAATACTCTTAATAGCATCTATAAGGTTCGTATTCTTTTCCAACTAATCCAACTTTTAATACCAATTCTAATACCTAGTTATGATTCCAGCCATAACTAAAGTGTTATGTCGATTTCTAATTCACCAATGAAAGTGTAAAGTCATAAATACTTTGATTCATGGTTATTGTTACCAAAATTACATGAGTTATCATTGTATAAAAAATAAAATCATTTTCCATGTTTGAATCGAGTTGTTTTTAAACCTCTCATTTATTATGATGGTGTCTTTTCCATTAGACTTGTTAATTTCACTCGAAACTTCAAAGATGAATTATGGAATCATAACAATAACCAACAAACAATCATTAATTACTTAAGTTAACCTGCAATCATTATCAAACTCCATAACTCGTGTATAACTCATTAGAGCATATGTATAACTCAAACATGAAATTAGAGCTTGAAATGTCCAATTCCACCATCAAAACTCCATCAAACAACTTATTGGACAAAATGTTGACGAAATAATGTGCGAATGAAAAATAAAATGTTAGATTTTGGGTCTAAGAATATCAATAAACTTGGATAATTCAAGAAGATTTTGGGTCTAAGAATATCAATATAAACTTGGATAATTCAAGAATCGTGATTGCAATCATTTTTCAAAATTTATGATTTCAACCCTATTGCATGGGGTATCACAAAATCTGATTTGGGATAATCCATTAATGACAATTTAGAAGTCATACCACTTCCAAATTCAAAACATAGAAAGGTATCTTGTTGTTTTGTGTTTTTTTTAGAGAAAAATAGATTTACATAATCAATTACGAGTGTCACTGCCAAGGGCTCTGCCCCTTGGAACCATGTACCCAGGGGCGTTGTCCTCGGACCCCTGTATTCCTAAGTTTACATTTATCACTCCGAGTGTGCACCCTGCACCTCTAACCTCAAATAGTAAACCGAACTCAGTTTGTGTCGATAGTAAATATAATTACACTAAATCACCAATATAAACCACTAGAATCTAATTTGGATTAATAGGAACATAAGGAAATTCATATTTATGAATCATAGGGTTAAAAAACCCACTACCATCCAAATCCCCATAAAATCCCCATAAGTATCTATGGAATGGATGTTGCATGTAGATTGAATCTAAAAGGAGAATAGAGCTTAGAAATCACATAGAACCCTAGGTTAATCAAAAATTTAGGATTTAACAATAAAACCAAACCTAACTTAAAATTTATAGGAGGTAATTAAGAATTATACCTTCAATTCACTAAGAGACGATGACGAGATGCTTAGATCTTCATTAGGACTCCGATTATACTTCAATTCTTCAAAATCGTCCCTATATAGGTTCTCCCCATGCTAATGACATTCCAAATAAGAGAATGAAGAAGACACTAGCTTTTATACTTATCTAGTTACACATGAGTTTCTAGTTTTGCACAAAAACCACCATAAGACTATACATTTCACAGAACCCTATGGAAATTCATAATCGGTCCTTCACCACCAATATACAAACATTCAAATCCTAAATTTATAACACAAAAAGAAATAGAAAAAGAAAATGGAATTCAGTTTTGTTCTTGTTTCCACGAATAAAATTCATGAAAATTTTCAGTTTATTAACATATTGTATTTTTCTTTAAATAAAAATAGGAACCAAAAGCGACAAGTATCGAACCAATCTATGGCTTAATTTTCCAAACATCATGATTGACCATTATTTGTTTTTTATAAAATGAAGGGAAAATATCATAAAATAGCAATATAGTTTCTCTTTTTTATCAATATATACAATATACTTATTTTCAATCCATAATAATAGTAATATAATTACATGTTTGTACAGATAAAGCAACATATTTACATTTTTTTTTATTTCCGATAATAGAAACATGTAAGCCCATAATGGAGTCATACCTTCAATTCTTTACACCCAATAGCAACCTACTTACAATTACTTACCCATAAGAGCAACGTACTTAGATTTCTTTTCCAATAACATAAATATACAAAATGAAACTTGTAAGCATTTTAAACGTTTATAATCAGTAAAGAAATATAAATATAATCAGTATTACATGAAATAGAATATAACTAAGTTCCTATTATGGATAAAAGATGAAGTACATTGTACATATTGATAGCAAGAAGAAAGTACATAGCTATTTTCTGCAATTTACCCTTATAACAAACAACTACTCATTATTTCCTTCGGTCTCAATCAGAATACAGAAACATCCATGAAAATTAAATATAAAGATTCATGAATAAAAACAAAGGGTAAATGATTATATACAATTCTCCAATTATATGATTGTAGTCAAATTCTTGATAAAAGAACAAGATTCCAAGAAAATATAATCCATTATTGGAAAATGTGATGAAAACATATAAAATGTCAATCGTCTCCAAACGTGTTCTCTCCACTGTAGGTAACATACAAGAAACCATCATCGTCCTTCTTTTCTTCATATATCGCGGACATAATTGCCCCTGAAAAAGAAACACCACAAAAGTATTACCCATTTGCCCTTTTTAGTCCTGAAAGTTCTAAAAAGGATGAGTTTGCCACTAAACTTAATAATTTGGTTTTATTACACCATTGTGACTTGATATATATATATATATATATATATATATATATATATATATATATATATATATATATAGCAGGTAAAAAGTAAAACGGTTTTGTTGCCTATGTGGCGTCTATGTCCACATGGTGCTGACGGCTGACATGGCATCCATGTTGACTATTTGTTTAAAATTTTCATTTTGGAAATTTTAATTTTGGAAAACATAACTTTAATTTTAGTTTATATTCCATTTTAATCGGTGGGTATCCTTCATTTTAAAATAAATACAAAACATCAAGTTCAGTGAGAATTTCACTCATTTTAGAAGTTTGATGAGTAAAAGGGTAAAATGGTAAAATTACCTGTTGGGGGCAGGGCATTGTCAACAAAGATGAATATGGCCTTCTCAGCACTCAGTTTAATCCTTTTACGTATCACATAAACAAATTGACCAACAGTCAAATCAGCTGGAACAAGGTACCTGCAATTTTTAATTTCATGTTAAACAATTTTCAACTTCACTGAAAAGACCATTTTACCCCTAATGAAACTGTCATATTCATTGCAAGAATTGTAATAACTAATAAAAGGTTTGTTTAACCAGTCAACTTTCAATTTTGTCCCATTGATGTGAAATTTTGTATATTTTTGTTCCATTGTTATGACTTAAGAGATTTTGCAATTTTTTTTTTGTTGATGTGGTGATGATGCGGACATATGACGTGGCAAGTTTATTGAGACAGTTTCATTTAAATAGTAACCAAGTTTTAGTTTTTGTTCCAAAGTTAAAACATTAGAGGACAATGTCATTACCAATTTGGATGCTTTATTCAGTCTATAAAAGAAACAGACTTTATGTATGCAACACTTTAAAAAGAAACACACGAAAGATTGTTGTTATTGTTATTGGTTCACATCTCTTGAGTAAATTTATTAAAAAATAATAGTAATAATAATAAAAAGTAAGGTAGGAAGAGTTATAGAGCAGATTACTTACTTTTTCTTATCGATGTTAGGAACATCACTTCTCTCCCCTTTCTCCACAATCACCTTCAAAATAACCAAATTCAAGAAGCTTATTTTGAAACCATATAACATAACAAATAGTCAAATACTAATACAAAAAGATTTTTTAAAGAATTATACTTGTTCCAAACTATGAAAGTGATAAGACCTGTTATTCGAGACACAGGGATTCTCCTAAAACAGAGTAAAACTCTATAATTCTTATTCCATAATAATACAAAAAAGTCATAACAAAACCCTATATATAAGTGTGAATAGATAATCCTACCCTAAATTAAAAGATATCCTAATTTTAAATAAAGATAACTACTAATTTGAAATAATAATAAAGGGATAATTATCGGAGACGTATCAGAAAGTTACAACTTTTATGGCACAAATGTTAAGGACAGAGTCGAAAATGAACAAATTTACTAAACTCCCCTCGAACTAAAGGAGGTTTTTAACTGTAGGTAAGGGAACCTGAAGTTAGAATCTTCTCAAGTACTTGTTACTAGAAGAAAAAAGATAAGGGTAAACAAGTCTTTTCATGCCAAATACAAAAATAAGTCGTCTATATAAACATGATATATCATATATCTAGAGAAAGATTAATACTTACAGGAATCCTATCAGGGTATTTCTCTCTAATTCTAGCAGCCTCTGCTCTCCTTTTTTCTGAAATAAATATCAAGATTTATCAATAAATTCAAACGGATTATAGATCAGAAATATTCATACAGTAAAAGCTAAACACTTACCAAGATCATGTTCTTGCTTGAATAAACTCTTTGCCATTTCACTCTATTCAAAGATAAATGAAGGATTTTAGAGAAAAAAAAAACAATCTACAATAATGATAGCTCATTCTACAATGCAATAACAAGTAGCACACTTCAAAAAGTCAATAACACTTTCTTAGTTTGATGATCAATAGAGAAATCATTTGATCACATATCGACATTTCTGAAAGTCAAAATTAACTCTAATTTAGGGTAAAATTTGAATAAAGTTCATATCCACAGTTAATGAAACCAATAAAGTGATCAGAATGGGCATTAATCATTATACTTTTTATCACCAAAATCCAAATATACGTACAATATTGTAAACCAAAGCAGTCCCTAAAAGAAAAAATATAATTTTAAGCCATCAAGTTCAACATCTTCAACATCAAGAATCGTCAGTCTGATAAAACTACAATAAACTTGATAGAAATCGAAACAAACCCAAGCAAAATTACTCGAACTTTCCTCAAGATCATCGCAGCAAGAACATAAAATTAGCCAAACGAAATCAAAGAAGCGATATTTAAAGAAACTTTGTAACAGAATATGCGGAAACTTACATCTTCGAAAAAATCAGAGACGAAAGTTGATTGAGGGTATGAATTGATTTTTGATGATAATAAAACTACTATGACTTTTTGTTTTGTACTCCGACGAAGTGTGTGCTTTTGGAAAAAAAAAATAGTCAAGGGCTTACATATTTGTATTTTAGTGGATCCTTTAGGGCTTTTTTTCAAGGAAAAATAAAGCTTTTCTTATTTAAGTTTTCATAGATATGATATGACTCAATAATTGGGGTGAAAACGGGTCTAAACTCGACCCAAATGAACCCAACACCTAAAAAGTGTCTCTAGAACCGGAAATGTAAAATTGGATAAGTGGAACCGGGTTTCAGGTTTTAGAACCAAAAAACCGAAAACTTTTGGTACTTTCAACGTGTATAGTTATAATTAGGGACTCTTTTGTCATACTTTTGTAATCATGAGTTGTTTTGGTACTTCTATTTTAAGTGGTAGAGTAGATTTTTTTTTATTCTTGGTGTAAAAAACTACGATATTAGAAGGGTTTTTTTTCTTCCTGAATTCAATCCAACGAGAGTCCAAGTCGCATGGATGTTTTTTTATTTAAGGTCTTTAAACTACTCAGTTTGATTCCCTTTATCCGTTTTAACCATACCCATTAAACTCGGACCCACTATACCCGATATCTGATACATGTTTTAAGCTTAAGGTGATACTCGGTACCCGAACTAGTTTAACATATATCGGTTCTAACCGCTTCGGTTCCAGGGTTTACGAGTTTGAAGCTCATCCCTACTAAAAAATGTCTCTTTCGGATGATTAAATTGTTAAATAATTATGCAAAATGTTATTATTGTAAAATCTCAAAAATCACGATAAAATTTTTTATTTTCAAATCAAGGAAACCATTGTTTTCAAACAAGACCCATAACAAAACCAAGTATAAAATACAAATATCTCCAAGATCAATATATCATAAGTTCCAAAAACATGTCATCGGAGGATGTGTACGATCACGGCTTCACCTTGTCACGGTCATCAGAAGTACCTGAAACAATAAACTGAATAAGTCAAAGCTTAGTGAGTTCCCCCAAAGTACCACCACACAACATATAACATATACAATAATGCATGCGGGACCACTCAGTCATCGGACTGGAATACCATCGGGTCTACACCATCGGGCTGGATTACCCCCAGCCCAATTAGTCATCGGACTGGAATGCCAACATGTAACGGGTCCATTCAGTCATCGGACTGGAATACCCCTGGGTCCACATCTATCAGGATGAATTACCCCCGGTCTTTTGGCTCACACATATAGCAATAAAGCCTCAACCCAAAACATACTATGTCGACATAAACAACAGATAAACATATAACCAATCAGCAGGCAAAACAGGTAGATCTACAGATCACTAACGCATAGCAACATCCTATATACCAGGATTCAGATCTAACAGATCACTACAGCATAACAACATCCTATGTACCATGATACAGATCTAACAGATCACTACAGTATAACAACATCTTATATACTAGGATACAGATATAATAGGTCACATAGCAACATCCAATATACCAGGATACAGATAACCTAGTGGTCCGACATTGGTGCCTTCGACCCACAAGTACAGTGAGTAAAACTTTCCTCTCAGTCTGAAAAGATAGTTGAACATGACCCTGCTATGAATATCAGTTCAACCGGTCACATATTCATGAAAAATGACCAAACTCAACTACAATTCAAAATACCCCTAGGTCAAAATTGGGTCAAAGTTGAAAGTAAAAAAAAAATCAGCTGAGTACGCCCAACGTAATCAGCTTGTACACTCAACGTACACAAGGCTTGACCAAAGTCTGGATGTTGACCACGTACGTACGTCGTACTCCAACGTACGTGCCAGCCAGCCACACTTTCGATTAAGAGCTTAATCCTTTAAGCCCTTTTGTCTAAAATTCAAATCTAGTCCTCAAATGATGTCCTTAATCATACAGTTTCCAACTTTTTGAGCTTGCATGGCTATAAGGTGCTCAATACCAAAAACTCTAACTTCTTAACTCATTAAGACATCCTAGTCCATGCATGGGGGAAAACTAAGGACCAAGATTATATTTTTATGGCTCTAAACACTCCAAAATGCCTGAAAGGACAACTCAAACGAATTAGAGTAACCCATACTCAAATGCATCAAGCTTATAGGACCAAAATGAACACAATCCACGACTAATCAAGATCTAGGCAAAACTTCATCAAGATCAGAACTTTTTACCTCCAAGTAGTGCCAAATGATGATGTGTTTCTGGATCCAAAGTGTTTCACTCTTCTAAGATGGTCTCCCCTTCCTTCTTCCTCCTTCAAGATCACCAAAATACACACTCAAGGCTCAAAGATGCTCCAAAAAATGGATTAGGGTTTGCAGGGTCAAATATGAGGCTGGAGGCTGATGAATGAAGGGATCCTTGAGAGTTAAGGATGAATACATAGTGCACGAACCCTAAATATTCGGGTTTTAGGTCCAGGCTACGTACGCCCGGTGTACGCTTGGGTACGCCTAACGTACGCAAACAACTCCCAAAAATTACAAAAATGCCATGCGGGACCAATTTTTGCAAACAATATTCATGCCAAAGGTCAAAATATGAAATACCTGGAAATCGAGATGTTACAATTATAATGTTGTACACTAACTCCATCATGATCCGGATGTTGAATGGTCCGCACCATAAAACCAAAATTTCTTTTGGTCTTAAATTTTCTTCGGTTATCTTTGGTAAAATTGAAACTCTTGAATTTTGTATGGTTTGTGAACTCTTTATGGTCTCAAAATTTTTCCTAATTTATCGAAACTTTCAATACAAATAATATTATAACAACTAAGTTTCCACTCTTTCATTCAAACTGTTTGAATTTGCTAAACAGTATATTGATTTTGCGAACATTTAACTGTTTCACAAAATGTTCTCACTAACGGTCCCTATGGTTTGGAGTAATCTGCGTGCTTAGTTCCTAACAAACTATTTTAACTCGGAAGGTCCCTATAATATGTTTTGTTGTGCGATTGGTCCCTACCAAAGATAAAAAGACTATATTGCCCATGTATATTTCCTTTCTAATTAATTTAATGTTTATTGTCTATTTATTTATTAAATTAATTGTTTGATAAACAGATGGGCCCCACCCACCCACCCATCCCATCGCATCTTCTTCCTTTGCGGTTGCAGCTATAGCAGATGGCTCTTTCATTTTCTCCGATAATACCTATTACCATGTATAAAGAAACTAGATAATATCAAAATAATGTCCTTGAGACATGTAAATAAAGCAGTCATGTAAAAATTCAATAACTTGAAACCATAAATACAATCCTTGAGAGCAAATCCGACAAACTTGAATCAACCCAAATACCAACAATTCAAGAACAGTTTTTTTTTTTAAAACTTGAGTAAATAGTTTAATTTTGGAAGTTGCAATCATATATTTTAATTGTCATCGTACAACGAGTGAGATGGCAAACGGGCAACAAGCTGTGCCGCTAAGCCTTTTTAAATGGTAAAGCTAATTCTTTTAAAGACTACATCCGAAGATCTAGGGGATATAACATTACTATGCATGATTCGTTGTACTCTTTTAAGAAGCTCTACCGCATCTGGTGCGAGGAAACCAAACGTATCAAATGCAAATGGTATGAACACGTGTTGATTTTCCATGCACGATTTCTCATGTTTGGTGACTTTGCCTGTAGCTGCTTTTAAAGCAGCATGTCCCGCCGTGAAACCCCCAGCCCTCAGGCCCACGAGAGGGGATACCCCTGTAAGATCCACACATGTGTGTTTCCCTCCGACCCATCCAAAAATCAAATTGTCAGCCGGTCTAAGGGTTGACCTTCCTTCTGTCGGGTCAGTAAAGAAATTAACAGGTGCCTCTTTCTTAGCGGAAACCCCGGCACGCTTAAATATGTCAAACAAAACATCCCTAACCATATTGTGCCTGTATTTGAACCCCGGGAGTTCTTTACAGTGAACTTCATGCTCTCCAAAAGAGTCCAAACATACCTTGCGACACACAGGACATATCTCGTCAGCTGGGAATATGGGAATCATGAGTCGATATTTGAGAATAGTACGATACTTCACGGGAGACATGTGTTGGCCAAGCCCATCTATAGGGATAGCCAGAAGAAAATCTTGAGCATGTGGTGCACGTAAGCACTGGAAAACCGCTTTCTTCCGAGTCGTCATGTCGAGATGCACTTCCATATCTTGGACAATTTTACGAAAAAGGGAACTCGCCAGTGTATTCTGGGATTTAGGGGGGGGGGGGGCGGTGTCTTTAGTAGTAAAATTGTTAAGGTCAAAATCTGGAAGCTTGTTGCGAAGGGATGCCAAGGCACAATCATAATCATGAGAGAAGTAATCAAAGCAAAGTTTGAGCAAATTTAGTCCTGCGACCTCTAGAAATCCACAATACACAAATAAATAAATAAATAAATAAAACTCTCATCTGCATTTGATTTCTTTTTCCACCTTCACTAAATCTAGATCTTTTCACCTTTAAAATCCCAAAGTTGTAACTCAGATTAAGAACACATATGAATATGAGAAACTAAAGCTACTCACAAACCCAAAAAGAAGATGGATTCAAGAAAATCAATCGGTATAAAAATCAAAGCCCCAAAATCATACTTTTCACCTCCTTTAGAATTCTATTCTTCGAGTCCCTGTTCGTCGTAAATATCCAGGTCGTAGTGGCTTGACATGGTTTCCAGCGACCTACAAATTTGAAACAGATCCACCCTCTCCATCTTTCACCAACGATCTAGAAATCTGAAACGGATCTAGATCTGATAATCTAGAAATCTGAAACAAAAGCATGATAAATCGAAATGTCCTTCATCCAACCACACCATAGATCTCCAATCCTAGCAGGGAGAAATCGAGATGGAAGGATCAACACAAAAAAAATGATTTTTTCAATGGGGTTTTCATGTGTGTTTAGGTTATAGGTGATAGATGAGAAAAGGGATGATCAAAATTTGGAACAAAGGATGAGGGTGACGGTATGGCTGGTGACCTTCCAAGTTGTAGTGATGGCGGCATGTGGATGGCGGTAATGGAGGACCGTCGTGGATTGAAGAGAGTAAGAAGAGTTAGATAGAGAAACAGAAACGTGGGTTTGGGTTTTGGTTTGAACGGAGAGAAAAGGGAAGGGGTAGAAGGTTGTATGGACCCCCAAAGCTAATTCTATTTTTTTTTATTTTAATAATAAGTAATAGATAATAATAATAAAAAGATAAAAAAAAATATCATTAAGAGCAATATAGTCAATTCAAATCGGTAAGGGACTAAAGACGCAATAAAAATATATTATAGGGTCCTTCCGAGTTAAAAAGGTTTGTTAGGAACCAAGCCGCAGATTACCCCAAACCACAGGGACCATTCCCCAAAATCGATGTTTCTATCGCAAGCTCACAAGACAACTTTTATTCGGATGGAGTTGAGGAAAACGATATTGTAAAGGAGACTTGCCAATCCATATATCCTCCCATAACTTAGATAAATTTTCATTACCAATTGTTTAGTGAAAGTGAGAAAAAAAAATCAATACTTTTAGAGAAAAGATTAACAAAGGATGATATACTAAACACCAAGTAGAGCAAATCGATCTAAGGCCTACATTGTTACCATGAAAAGCCTTATAACCAAAGACTAGAGAGAGAATTAGGTACCATGAAAAGCCTTATAACCAAAGACTAGAGAGAGAATTAGGCTCTGTATGCGATCTTTATTCTGAACACATTGCAATATTAAATGTGAATAAAATGCAAACCCGTAAACCAACCTCTTTCTTTTGAAGCTATGATTTTATTCTGCTTGAATCAAACAAAAAATCAAGTTTTGTTTGTCACAATGATAATAGTTGTAGTATAGTTTACAGTTTCACAAACCAACACTCTTTCACGAAACCCATCATTTTTCACAAATCACAAAAGCTTGTTCGCCATGTACATAATACATAGTAATTTTGTTATAAATATTGGAGATTGGTTATTATGTTAATACAATTATACAAACCTCCATTTTTGTCATTTATGTGATTAGCCTTTTTATAAATATATAAATGTAAGAAATGTAAGAAATATAAAATTGCAAGACTTGACATTTCTTGTGAGTACTAGGCACCAATATAAGGGTTGTTTGATATGTTTGTTAGTGGGTCTAGTAAGATGCTAGATTTGACTCGGTCATATTCAAACTCTTTGATATCACACTTGGAAGCCCCTGACTCAGTCAGATTTAAACTGTTTGATAAGATTCAAACTGTTTAGAATTGTGTGACCGAGGCAGATATTAGGGGTGAGCATGGTACGGTTCGGTGCGGTTTTTGGCTAAAACCGAACCGAAAACCGCAACTTCGGTTTTTTGAAGTTTAGAAACCGCACCGTTCGGTTTTTATGCAGTTCGGTTTTTGCGGTTTTTTCTGGTTTTTTGCGGTTCGGTTTTTTCTTTACGGTTTTTTGTCAGTTTTTTTATTTGGTTTTTGTTTTACCTTTTTACTAAAACTCAGGTAACTCAATGAGTTACTTAGACTTGGATGAGAAGTGTTTATCAAATAACATAACCACTCATCCAACATGATTCTAATGCTTGAATATAATACGTGTTAAATATAATATTTGTTTCATAGATATAATATCAATTAATGTATTTATAAAAATGATACTATAATCACTAGTACTCTTAATATTAAAATGTTAAAAAATATAATAAACATTATTTGTTCTAGTAAATATCACTATGCTTAAAAATATACAATCATCCTTTGATAAGATATATATTTATATTTATAGAAATTTTAATTGTCATGAGTTCTTCGTTCTTACGAATATCAACACCTAATATATATATATATATATATATATATATATATATATATATATATATATATATATATATATATATATTAAGGTTTTAAAATACGGAATCGGGCCTCGAGGCGTTTACCCCTCGCCTCACGAGGCGTAAGCCTCGAGGCGGAATAAAATAATAATAATAATATATTATATTAATCATAAAAAACATACTAAAGTCCAATTTCAAACATAAAAGTCTTACTTAATGTCATCATCCCAAAAATAAAAACATACTAAAATTCATAATAGTCTTCAAATCATGCCAAATTAGTAAAAACAAAAGCATAATAGTCTTCAAATCAAGCCAAATCAACAAAAACCAAGGTCATCATCATCTTCCATTTGACCATCGAGCTCATCATCTTCATCAACCAGATTTAGTTGAACACCTTTCCTCCTTTTTGAACTAGAACTCGCACTTGTTCCAACGTCTGTTGCAACTTCATCGGTTCCAACTTCTTCACTATTCTCATCATCTTCGATACTTGGGTCAGCTAACCATTCATCATCAGATGGCAATTCCTCAACAATTAAGGGATCATCACTCCTAGCTTCTTCTTTGAGACAAACTTTCTCTTCAACTTCTTGTTGTGCATAATGTACACCAAGCTATTCATTTTACTCGTAGTCAACTGGTTCCTTCTCTTTGTGTGTACTTGATTAAATGTACTCCAATTCCTTTCGCAAGCTGAAGCGGAACAAGTTAGACCCAATATTTTTGTTGCAAACATCATGAGCTCGGGCACACTCTCTCCAAAGTTATCCCACCATTCAACTACATAAATAAACGAAAAACCAAATTCAAATTAGTCTAATATTTAATAATAATTGAAAAATGTATATATAATTATACTCCTAGTTTATACCCGGAGGCCGTTTAAGGTATGATGTTAAAGCCGCATTATATCCAAACAACCCTCTCTTGTACTTAAACTCATCGACCTGTGAATCAACCTTTTCATTAGTTTCTTGATCCAAGAGTCTTTCCATGCACCTATACAAACCCATTTTTATCTCGGGATGTCAGGAAACATCGGGACTCCACCTATAGCGCGGGTTCAAGAAATAAGTCGCTGCATGCAAGTCACGGTGCATTTGATTCTCCCATTTTTCATCAATAATGTCCCATATTTCCTTGTAAGAACCCACATCCCCATCAAAAATTTTGGCAATCTTTTCCTTGCATTTATCCATAGCACCATAAATATAAGTCATTGCCGGTTCTTTTTCACCATCAACAAGTCTCAAAACGTGAACCAGAGGCCTTGTGGTTTTCATTGAATAAACCACACTTGGCCAAAAATAAACTTCATCCATGACAATCTTCTTGACAGCTATTCCATCCGACTTCTTAGCCCAAGCACAATTTGACCACTCAGTTGAAACAAACATCTGTTGTAATGGTTGTTTCAACTCGTACATGCTTTCTAGTGTCAAAAATGCAGTGGCAAATCGGGTAGCAGCCGGCCGAAGAAGATTTTTCTTTGCAAACTTTCTTGCTAAGCTCAAAACCCACTGATGGTTATGAATAAAATTGCTTACTTTTTTAGCCTTAAGTAAAGCATTTTTGTTTTGTGGTAACCCTCCAATCTTCTCAAGCATCAAATCTATGCAATGAGCAGCACACGGAGTCCAATATAATTGTTTTCGCTTCTCCATCAACAAGGTACCAGCAGCTTTGTACGCGCTTGCATTATCTGTGATCACTTGAATGACAATATCTTCACCGATTTCCTCAATAACACCATCAAGTAGTTCAAACAACTTATGTGCATTTTTTATGCAATCTGACGCGTCAACAGTTTTCAAAAAAACTGTCCCATATTGATTGTTCGCAAGATAGTTGATCAAGCTTTTGTTTCTAATATCGGACCAGCCATCTGATAACAATGAAACTCCTATTTGCTTCCATGTAGCTTTTATGTCATCAACAAATGTAGTGGTTGTCTTGACTTCTTCTTTTAAAATCCAAGTGCCCAACTCGTGTGCTGAAGGAGGTTTTAAGTCACGACCATAATTGCCAATTGAACGCACCATATTTACAAAAGCCGGACTCGATGCAATATTAAATGGCATCCCATTCTCATAAAAGCATCGCCCAATATCCAAGCAAACTCTATTGCGGTGTTCTTTAGCCTTCCCTGGTGTCATCTTCTCAACCGCTATTGTCCCTTGGTCATCATCAAGTGGAATCTCCATATAATGGTCTATCGGGCCTCTAACACCCTTGGTGCTAACACTAGGACTAGAATTTGCACCCATAACATTGTCAATGCTATTGCTCATATGGTATGATCCATAACCCACATTTTCCTCAAAATTGTGTTGCTTAGCGAATTTCTGTTCTTGATATGCTTTTAGATATTGTTTCATTTCTTCCTTGACTATGTCGGGCACGTTTAAACAAGGTGCAACATCTTTTCGTGATCCAGCAAGATGTTCCTTCATTCGTTTTACCTCCCCTTTGACGACCTTGCTACAATAGTTACACTTGAGGTATTTGTAACCTTTTTTGGCACCCTCTCCAGGTACTTCTACCTCTTCACTATGTCCCCAAGCTGGATCATTTCGTGCTCCTTTAGAAGCCATTTTAAGTCCAAGACTTAATAAATAATATGCAATAAACTAATTGTACAAAAGCATTACAGGGAGAAACTACCAAACTGATAACACTGTGTTGTCTAATTCGAGTTGTGTAATTACCAAAATGAGAGTGTAATTACCAAAAGAACAGAAGACACAAACTCATGAAAACACAGTAAAGTGGATAGAGTTTCCGCTTTTTTTCTAACGTTTGATTTGAAGCAGTCAAGACTCAAGCAGCCTTCGAGAAGTCCAACTTCAATTTCAGCTTAGTACCTTCGGATTTTGATGCAGAAGTTGGGAACAACATCGATTTTTACTCACAAGTTGATGACCATGTTCGATTTTGCAAACACTTAATATGGGGGGGGGGGGGGAGAATGACGAAAGCAATGACGTTTTGAATACATTAGTGAAGACACTTGTCCTTTCAATGTGGAAGGGATTATATTAATGTAAATATTGTGTCGGTAGAATTATTTGTATTTGTCGTTGTATAATTATTGTTTGTATGTGTCATAAAGTTAGTGTCGGTTAGAAATGAAATAAACTGTGTAACCCTCAATAGTCTAGGGGGCTATAATGTAAATATGTATGTCGTATTGCAATCAAACGATTGCAACTCAATTATGTAACCGGCTCTCTTGAGCCTATAAATAGGGCCTTTGCCCATATGAAATAAACAAGTTAAGTTTGAGTGTTTAAGACTTGAGTTGATCTCAAAGTTCTTCCTCTGTTGAAATAGTTGTTCTATTTCTGAATAACAGAGCCCTATCCAAACATATTCATATAATCATTCATATAATCTAAACAACCCATCGTCAATCCATCCCGACGCATCATTCAGGTATAATCTTATCCTAATCTTTTTTATTAATTCCGTCATGTCGTTAATTTTGGTATCAGAGCTAAGTAACGTTCTTATTATTTTGAATATTCAATCTTTCGTTCATAAGAATATATGCATATGCAGCATCATAAACATGATAATCAATATTCATCGTTTTACATATCTGTTCATAAATATTCATATTCAAAAGTCATCGTTATTAAAAGTCAATTCACCAACAATTGAAACAATTGTCGTAAGAAGGTTTTAATATCATTATAAATATGTCTCAAGAAATAGAAAATTCACCAATCATTATTAATAACGAAGAAAATGAATTTGGATACACTTTTGATGCTTTAATTAACAAAAATAACATTAATAAAGATGCTATAAAAAAATCAAATTTTACACTATCAGAAAAACATAATTTTAAAAATAACTCATTAAAAATTTTCTTTTCTAGAAAAAATATTATATATTATGGAAAAATTATAGGAGAAGAAGCAATACTTATAGAATCAACTCAAGGAAATATTATTATACCCATAATAAATAAACAACAAATTAGAAATAGATTATCTAATATTAAAAATAAGTAGATAGAATAAAAATTGCTTATATTCATATATCAACTATTCAAGTAATTTAAAAAGTACTTTTAGCGATTTAGATACACCAATAGAATTAGAAATCAGAGATGATCGTATAATTAATAATCAAGAAAGTATTATTGCAAAAGGAAAAGGTAATTTAATTGAAGGAAAAATAAATTTTGATATTAATATTCAACTAGGATTAAGTCTTAAAGATAAAAATCTAAGTAATAGTATTACTGTACGATATAAATTATTAAGACAATATTTTATATTAAAAGGTAATCATCCGTTTACTATTACATATCAAATAAATTATGCATTAACAAATTCTCATCATAGTATTACATTCAAAACAGAAAATAGAATTTATATAGATAAATTATTTACCCCTTTATTATCACTTAAATCACCAAATATGACTAATAACAGAATATTTAATGAAACTAATTTTCAACCAATAATAACTACTCTGTTACTAAAAAAAAGTCCAATTATAGAACCTCCAATTTCAACTATAACAGGTAGATCCTCCATCTCGGAATGTCAACCTACAACATCTACTGAAAATCAAAATGAAAAATTAGAAGATATTAAAGAAATGATTAGATCATTAAGTTTAAGAATATGACAGAATCATCTAGTAATTCTTTAAAATATTTTAAAACACTTGAAGGTTCATATCAAAATACAAAACCATGCATACCAGATAAAGAAATGATTATAGAAATACCGCAAAATTTACCACAAGGAACAATATATAATATTGGTCTTAATTCTGAAGAAGATAAATCAATAGAAGATAAATTAAATATAATTAGTCAAAAATTAAATAATATTATAGAAGTAGAAAGTTTACTTGTATTAAAACAAATTCCTGAACTATTACAAAGTTTAACTCAACAGAAAATATTACTTGAAAAATATTTAAAAATAAAAACTATTAAAGAAGAACCACTTAATAAAAAACCACTACTTAAAGAAAAACCACTTACTATTAAACGACCTTTCACATGGTAAAATAAAAATTATGAGTAATAAAACCCAAATATATTGTATTTACGATAATAAATATAAAGTTAATCTACTTAAAAAATTATGGAAAGATTTAGAAAACTCTACAAAACATTTAAAAGAAAAAGAATCTGAAATACATAAATTAACATCTAAAAACAAGAATTATACTGCATATCAATTAGTTAAAATTGGAAGATTAAAAATTGAAATTAATCATTTTAAAATAATAATAAAAAATATTAACAATTCAATTAATTTTCTTTCAGACGCTTTAATAATTTGTTAAAATGAATTCAAAAGTACAAATTAATTCTTCAAAAGATAACATGCTTTGGACTAATATATTAAAAAACCATTGGAAAATAAATTCTAATATCTCTAATACCATTCAACATTTAGAAAATGCTTTATCATATGAAGAAAACTATTTATTAAAATTACAATTAGTAAATGAAAAATATAATAATCAATTAAAAAAGATATCTAGATTACAAGAAGGAATTAAGAAATACAAAAAATCACAAAATCGTAATCTAAAAACAATACGCAATGTTTCAACCACTCTAACAAACACAACTTGTTAATATGGAAACTTTGCAAGAAAAAATAAAAACACAGATATAGAAATTTATAAACTAACTCTAATGAGTAAATGAAAAACAAATATTAACCCAAACAGTACATTTATTACAACTAAAATACAAGATAAAGAACTAGTTTCGTATATAGATACAGGAGCTACTTTATGTTTCGGAAGAAGAAAGATATTAAAAAATTGGGAAAAATTAGAAAAACCATTAAAAATTACAATTGCTGATAAATCAATTCACAAAATTTGGTTCGTAGGAAGAGACATAGATATAGTAATTGAAAAAGCGTCATTTAAAACTCCAACTATATATCAACATGATTCAGGAATAAATTTAGTAATAGGAAATAATTTCCTTAAATTATATCAACCATTTATACAAACAAATGATCATATAAGTCTCAATCATCCGACAAAAAATATTATAAAAACTGCAATTATCAAACATTATGATCTTATTAAAATAATCAAACAAGAAGTTGGTTTTCAACTACGCATATTACTAACGTTCGCTTAAGAAATCGCTGAAAAACAACTTGAAAAGTATGTAGTGAAAACCCGCTAGATCATTTAAAAAATAGAAATAATCAAGAAATAATAATATTATTAAAAAATCCTAATGATGAAATTAATATTCCAAATAAAATTCCATACAGTATAAAAGATATTTCTGAATTTAAACAAGAATGCACTGAACTACTAGAAAAATGAATCATTCGACCTAGCACAAGTCCCCATTCTGCACTTGCATTCTATGTAGAAAATAATAATTAAATAAAACGAGGAAAAAGGAAGAATGGTGATTAATTATAAAAAAAATGAACGATGCTACTATAGGAGACTCATATAAATTACCACGAAAAAAATATATTTTAGAAAAAAATAAAAGACAATACACATTTTAGTACATTTGATGCAAAATCCGGATATTGGCAATTACGCTTACATGAAAATACGAAACCACTAACCGCTTTTTCATGTCTTCCTCAGAAGCATTATGAATGGAATGTCCTTCCATTCGGTTTAAAACAGGCACCAACAATATATCAGCGATTCATGGATGAAACTTTAAATGGTTTAGATCATATTTGTCTTGCATATATTGATGATATAATTGTTTTTACAAAAGGAAATGAACAAACACACATTAATGCAGTCATCAAGGTTTTACAAAGAATTAAAGAAAAGGGTTTAGTTTTATCAAAAAAGAAATCAAAACTTTTTCAATCTACAGTTGAATATCTCGGTTTAAAAATTGGAGAAAATGATCAATTATCGTTAACAGACAATATACGAGAAAAATTAAATATGTTTCCTAATAAACTTGAAAATAGAAAACAAATACAACGATTTCTTGGTTGTTTAAATTATATTGCAGAACAATGATTTTTGAAAAACTTAGCAAAAGAAAGAAAAGTTTTACAAAAGAAAATATCAGAAAAAATACCTTGGTCTTGGACTAATACATATACTATTTTGGTACAAAGTATAAAACAAAAAATTCAAGTTCTCCCCACTTTATATAATGCAAAAATCGACGATTTTCTAATTGTGGAGACAGATGCATCACAAGACACTTGGGCAGGATGCCTAAAAGCAATTATACGTGGAAATGTATTATTGGGATTAGATAGTGAGGGAAACCTCATATCTAACTCATCAAAAGTATACAATGATAAAGCATACACTGGTATGAAAATACCATCCGAAGTAAACAATGATAAAGTATACAGTGATATGAAAATATCACCAAAAGCATACACTGATACGGATGTATCATCTGAAGTATTAAAAACAGATAAATATGAGCAAAAACTATGCAAGTATATATCGGGAACATTTTCCCAAACGGAGCAAAATTACAGCACACATGAACGAGAAACACTAGCATGTCTCAGAACATTAAAAAAATGGAAAGTCGAGCTACTTCAAACCAGATTTGAATTACGCACAGATTCCAAGTATCTACTTGGCT